TTCACTACAAGCCTGATCGCACCACATTGGTTACGAGGACTAGCTCTCTTGATCTGGTTGTCCGCTGAGCTCGTACTGAATTTTTTAAAAGCAGTTTTACTGTGGGAGCAGCTAGGCTGTGAAAGAAAGTCCCTCCTAATATTCGAGCTAAATATGCTTCCAGCTCGTTTTATGGAGAGCTTTTTGCACACTTCAAGCGACTGGATCCTCGCCTCTCAAACTAACTTTACCTTTATTATTAAGTGACTCAGTGATCATAAGTGCTATGAATTGACACATTTTACTTAAATTTATTACTTTGACTTTATTTTTCTCTTAATCTAGTATAATTATTAACCTTTAGTTCAATTAACTTATACATTTTGTCGGTTGATGGCGGTGACGTTTCCGCGGTGGGAAATCCGGGACGAACCGGCATCGCGACGCATGGGACAAATCGGGCTCACGGAAATCTTGGTGGTGATGGCCTCCTGGTTGGCTGGGAGTCTTTTACGGGCCAGCAGCAGTTTGCTGCCCAACTTAAGTACATGTCATCGGTGCATGCAATAGTGGAAAAGGTTGAGGCTGGTGTGAGCGCAAATACTAGGGAGATCGCGCAGCTTAGAGAAGAAAACGTGGGTTTACGCAAGGTGGTCCAGCGTCTTAGAGACTTGAGTAGGAGCACTACTACGTCAAGGGAGTTTAAGGTGACTGGGGTGTCATCAGGTGCGGGTGTAGAATCGATCAAACTTGTTAAAAGACTTCTCACATTGCTGAACCTGCAGGGGCTCTGTGCGGGTATACTAAGGGTGACTCCATTGCGGGCCATGAGGACAGGGCAGGTCCTTCTGATGCTGAGCGGGGTGGGAGGAGCGTTTCGTTTATCTCATTTACAGTAGAGTTACAATCAGATGGCAACATGGACTTTATTTTAAGAACTGCTAAAGAATTTGGCTAAATAAAGTTTTCGCGATTGTTTGACAATATTGGCGGCAATAGTGTGATAAAACTATACGAGATGCTGCCCTCCTCCTTTCATGCTTTGCTTTTGAAGACGAAAGAGAGGGCCAAGGCACTCGGCTATGCGTACGTCTGGGCGCGCGATGGGGAGGTGTATGTACAGCGAGATGGCACTTCTAAGCGTCTGACCCTTTTCACCGAAGCTGATCTGTCGGCCTTGATATGACTACCCAGACGGCGGCGTGAGGTGTCTATCAGAAGTGAGTCCTCTTTCATTCACGTAGCTCATGTAAATGCAAATTCGATCCGCGAGCATCTGCAACTTTTGTCTCACTATTTATCGCATTACGACATCGATGTCCTTTCGGTTTCAGAAACATGGCTAACACTAAATCATTGTTCGTCCTTCTTTAACATCCCCGGGTACGATCTGGTGCGCAACGATAGAGGTTTGAGAGCGCCCGTCGGTAGACGTACATGCAGGATGGTGGAGGTACATGTAACGTGCGCAATACCTTTCGCTATGGTATTGTTTCGGCCCCCCAGATCACTAGAATAAACGAGACGGAGTACATAATTTTGGACCTTAGGGTCGCACCTGGATCGCGCGTTCTGATGGCTTCAGTTTATTGACGCCCTAAGAGTGATGTGTTATCCAAATTTTTTAGTACTTTTAACCGTGTGGCTACCGGATTTTCAGGCGCTATTATTGCTGGTGATTTGAATTCGGACCTCCTAAGCAATGATTATTACGGGACGCATTTGCGTGGCCTTCTTACTGAAAATTCCTTGTATGCTGTCGCTTTTGGCGCTACGCAACACTGCGCCACCAACGATACCTGGCTCAATATTATACTGGTGGATTTTGAGCATAGAGTGAGCTCATTTTGGTCATCTGACGCCCCGTGTATAAATGGTCATGATTTTCTATGTGTCGACTATGATATTTTAGCGCCTCTAATATTAGTGAAAAATACCATACGCAATTTTCGGAGTTTTAATGGAGAAGCATTTTGTATGGATATTCCTTCGCGACTGACAAGCGTGGAGATGGCCAGCTTGCCTCTAGATGTCAATCTTTTGGTGAATGATTTCAGTAGTGTCGTGCTCCATCTCCTCAATGCCCATGCCCCTGTGGTGCAGCGCAGCACCCATCACATGCCTGCCCCATGGTTCAGCCTGTAATTAAGAACTCGTTGCAAGAGCCGTGAAAGACTATACAAGGATGCGAGGAGGATGTGATGTGCCGAGAGGCTTGTGGAATATCGTCGCGTGAGAGCTCCATTAAACACTTAGCGGCAGCGCGTAATGACTACCTCCAGCGCTCACTTGAGGAATCGCGCGACTCAGGAACTTGTTGGAGATTGTTGCACCAATTCGGTTTGCTAGGTCGTACCTTTGATTCTCTGCTGACTCGTATCACACCTGAGGTACTGTCGCGTCATTTCTCTGACGTCACCTGTGTGCGCCAGCCGTGCGGTATCAGTGAGCTCCAGCACATTTTAGCTGCTGTCCTGGCTGATGGGGTGAGCTTTTCGTTCCAACCCGTATCTTCGTTGGAGGTTCACCAGGTTATAGCCATCTGTATGACGCGAGCTAAAGGCCGTAGTTTTGACGGCCTATCATTATCTTATTTTCGTGGCTGCTTATCTATCGTAGTTCTTTTCTTAACGTCTGTTTTCAACCAATCTTTTGCAACATGTAGTTATCCAATTGAATGGAAGAAGTCGGTTATTGTTCCTTTGGCAAAGATTCCCCGGCCAGCCAGCCCTGATGACGTGAGACCCATTGCGAACCTGGGTCACTTTGCGAAAGTGTTTGGTGTGATAGTTGTGAAAAGAGTTTCTTTCTACCTAGAAAGCCATAATTTAATATCTCCGATGCAGTCTGGGTTCAGACGCCATCATAGCATGCAGTCGGCGCTCCTGAAGATTACCGAGGACACTCGTCAGGGTATAGAGCGTGGTATGATAACTATTCTTGTTTTATTCGATTTTCGAAGAGCGTTTGATTCGAATGATCATGCTGTGCTTTTGCGTACCATAGTTGGTATCGGATTCTCTGCTGATACTATTAAGTGGTTCCACTCATATTTATCTGGTTGGTCTCAGGCCATGCTGACGTTAAACGGGAGTTCCACGGACTTCTTGCCTAGTAACTCGGGAATACCGCAGGGATCCTCCACGGGACCTATCGTTTTTCTTATTTTTATTAATTCTGTGCTGTCGGTGCTGCGTCATAGTACGCATAGGACTTACGTTATTATTTTGTTTATTATGAATAATGAAAACGATCAGTAAGCGCCATGGGTTGTGTGGGGATAGGGGCTTGCGTTATTATTTTACATTTAAAGTGATCAGTAAGCGCCCCCGATTGTGTAGAGATAGGCGCTTGCGTTAGTAGTTCATTCATTATAAATATTTAAAGTGACCAGTAAGCGCCCCGGGTTGTGTGGGGATAGGTGGTTGCGTTATTATTTTCTTTATTATAAATAATAAAAGCGACCAGTAGGCGCCCTGGGTTGTGTGGATAGGACTTTCTGGGTATTTGGCCACTAAGCTTGACAGATTGTGCAACACTGTCGTTCGATTTGTTTTTAACCTTAGACGTGATGCTGCATTGAGGCCGTTTTATACTCGGCTTAAGTGGTTGCGCCCTGGTGTCAGGCGAAACTATTTTTTGGGTGTAAGTACGTACAAAATACTTACTACAGGGAGACCAGGTTACTTACATGATCTCTTCCCCGCGGTAAATGAGGGACTTAGGTGTTCCGAGAGGCGCGTTCTCTCTTCACTTGAGATATCTCGCGCGACTCTCGTCTCTTATGGGCAATTGTTTTCGCAATTGGCTATGCGGTTTTGGGACAGTATTCCAGTGCGCATTAGGTTGTCTAAACCTCTGCCCGTATTTAAGAGCTTTTTGCACGAGTATCTATTACTTAATGAGAATTAACATGGCACGAGGTTTGTTCTTGCAATTTTATAATCCGATAGTAAACTAGCTTAAGTTCGAATAACATTTGTTTGTTACACATTTTCTTTCATGTTAATTACTACATTCAAGCACTATTAGTTCTTTAGCAGTTTGTCTGTGATTAGAGATTTTTCTGTTTTGCGTTCAGTTGTACATTTATTTGCGCCTGTATTTCTGTAACAATTGATTGTAACACTATTGTATATATTATTTTGTAATACACTAATTTGTAATCATGGTGTTTTGCCATTCGGGTGTTTCATCCTTGGCATAAATAAATACCTTTTTAATCAAAATCTCTTTCTTTCTTTCTCTTGCTCAGAATACGTATGGACTGTGGAATCTCACTATTTTTCATAAAGTCAGTTTTTATGGGTTACATTTATCTACCCAGGCTCAGCGTAAGAACTACAGCTTCAAAAACATCAACATTTGTTGTAGTAAAGTTGCAGGTAAAAAATAAAAAAATGTTTCTCTTATAAAGTCTGAGAGTGATTTAGCTGTGTGAATCAAATTTTAGTGGCATGGTGTTATAAAAATTTATCTCAAAAAATATCATAATGTGGTTAACAAACATTTTCTAAGAAAGTGGTATCTTAATTCAAAAAAATTGCATCCAAGTAGAAAGCAAATAGATAACTTCTTTCAAAAAAGCACTGAATTAAAAGCGAAAAAAACTTGAGTATGTATCACAATAACTTAATGTATAAGAATATTTTGATTTTTTAGTGAAACTGAATTTACAGGGAATTGCTTTACCACTTTGGTAGAATATTCAAATTTTGTGACCATACTCTTTTAGTAGGTGGAAGAACAATATTTCGTTGCAAAACTCACTCGTTTAACTGTAGTTATTACAGTTAAATAGCAAAAGAGTTTACTTTTTATATATTTCAATATTTCATTCTTGATTCCCTTGTAAAAAAGTAAATTACTTAAAAACTTGCATGGATATAATGATATGAACTACAATAATTAGTTATGTTAAACAATTGAGAAAAAATTTCTTGAGCTTACTGTTTGTCTTTCACTTTGACAATGAGAACAAGGTAATAAAATAAATGTCTTTGAAACTCCTGCTCGAAATACTAACTCTGAGGCAAATAACAAAGCTTCAAATATATCTTCACTTCCATTACCAACAGGTATATGATCGAAGTAGGCAGAGAAGTTTTTAATGTTCTGTATGAATATGTTGTTACTCATACGAAAATTTCGAGGCTTACTATAGACTCCATCTCCTCCAAATATTACCAAGCTCCAACGAGTATTGTGCAGTTTATTTTGAATTAACTTTTCATCAATAGACATGATCAGCTTATCTATATTGCGATTTTGTCTTATTTTACGGTTACATTCTTTTGCTTCAACAATAAAAACAACGTCCGTTGACATTGGTACTGCTTCCCCTATACATGAACAAAATAAATAATAGGCATTATTACTATTAATTTCAAAGATATAATTCATTACTAATATTAATATTTATAGTAATACTAGGGCATATTAAGCCAGTTAAAAATGTATCAATATTATTTGTATACCTCTGAGTAATATTCAATTTATACAAGTATTAGAATCATTTTCCGATATACCTATTGAAATCAAGCATGAGGTTAGAACAGCTCAAAAATTAAGAATAGGAACTTATCTAAACCTAAGGTGCGAGTCAATGTACGGCTCCTCGGTAGCTCTAATAGTAGAGAAACTGTGTACTAAACAGAAGGTTGTATGTTGACATCTGGGGAGGATATTTTTCTTCTTCTTGCTTAACATAAAAAAAAATGTATAATTTATTTTTTAATTTGCCTCTGAGTGATTCCTGATTTCATCCTGTCTGTAATAATTTTTTCTGTAGCAGTTAATTGAGAAATCGTTTAGTAATAAATAAATTGCAGATCGTTTTTAGGGTGTTATAATTAATAAATTATGTACGTAATAAATAATGTAAAAACAAAAAAAACCAAGAATAGCATTCTACATAAAAAATCCTCTAAGAGTATGTTTTTTTAAATGTACTTAGTTCGATAAAATTATTAACTATTTGTACACATTGATTCAGTCTTATGAAAATATTGTAGATGACTTTGTACAAGCAGGTTTTTATATAAATTTAGTATCAAGTAAACTGTTAGTACACTATAAACTACTATAGTTGACTGTAGCTGGCTTGTAAATACTTCATTTATATCCAATTTTTTAGACTCGGACGTCTATAAATAACTGAAAAAATTTATTTTCTGTCACCATTTTCAGTTCTAGTATTAGAAATTTAGGTGTGTTATCATATTGCCAAACTAATTGTATGAGTATGCGTTCCAAAAAGTATGATTCAACAAAGGATGCTATTTTACCTCTTCCTTTTTCTAATCTGTCAAGACCATACATGTTACATCCATCAATTTCTGTTGGTCTATCAGTGTCGAAATCGCCTAAAAAATTTTTCTCGATGCCTTCAGCGTATTAATTTGATGTAAGCTGAGATTCAAGGGTACTTAAATGTTGTTTTAGCTAATTAATGATTATGTGGGATATTCGTAGTTCATTCTGTGGTGATGTGATGTCTGGACAGAATTGCTTGTTTGATTGATTTATCGTGTCTGAATTGGGTGTGAGATAATAGTAGCATTTCAGAAGTAGTAGTACTTACTTCCTTATTATGTATATAACTAAACTAGAAATACTTTGCTTGGTGCATAAGCACTTAGTATCATATTGTTAGGCATGCGTAATCCAGGTATTTAGCTTAAATCGTTTCTTTGCGTAATTGGTCGTACATTGGCTTATATTAGCGCCTGAGGACTCGCATTATACCCCATTTAACGATATATTTCGTAGTGTCAGTCATATTTGACTAGTCTAGTATTTTCTTTTAAATGTGGGCACATTCTAATCATATCGCTTAGTGTTTTGCACGAAAGATTGTGCTCCTCCTGAACTTAACGATATATGGTGTTGCCACAGCTATTATGGACGATAATGTATTTACCGACTCCAATCTTATTGAAATTGGATACCAGGACTTTTAAGCCTATGTTAGGCTTAAGCTCTAAATTCTCCAGTACAGTACGCACTGAAGACCATATAAAGGATTTTCTCATCACTTTTTTGGTGATCTAGGGTTGGATAGGTCAAATAACATAAAGGCCTAAAAGTTATTAAGTATTTTGTCTATTCCTTTCGTTCCATTAATTCTGGCACTTTTACCATTAATGTACGAGGAAAGACACTGGATCGTCAGGTTAGATGAGTTGATAAAGTGTTTTCTCTCACTTCCTTTGGTTGTTGGATTATACACAAGCTTATTGCTTGGGTTAAGATTATTGTAAAGTTAAATAGACCAGACTTTTGATGCATCAATGCATGGATTTGAGATTTGAAAAAAAGACTATGCAAACATAACAGATTTCTACCACTATATTTTTATAATTGATGCCATCCACTACGATCTATTTTAAGCACAGTTATAATAAAAAAATGTAGAAGTCAAGAAATATGTTTTGATAGTCAGCTTGAGGAATTCAAAAAATCTCAATGCAGTGCAGTTAGCAGATACAAAATTATCAGAATTTAGATATAGAAGTTTTTTTTTTTTTTTAAAAAGAAAATCAGTTCTAGTGAAAAGACAGTAGAAATAATGTATTTTTTTTTCCTTGCCAACTTTTTAAGCTTTATTTCTTGTTTAAAGAGGTTCGGGAGTAATGATAAAATGCAGAGATCACAATAATAAAGAGTATTCTTGATAGTCTGAAATACGTAGAACTTGTATTAATTTTTTAAACATTTGTTATAAGTCATTTTTAAAAGAATTATACAACCGAAAATCATGTGATTAACATGGGTTTTTTAAAAAAGTAACCTCTTTGTCTTGCTTAAATGGACAAAGCTTTTTGGAAAATGCAAAGGCATTGAAAAAAATCTGCCTACAAGTTAATTATTGTTTAATTATTCGGTGAGCAAAATTTAAAGGCATATTAAAGTACATTTTAAACAATAAAAACGTTAAACGCAAGGAATATATTAAGTTTGTGGGGTGCAAGAGGGGTTGCGCGGTAAAGAAAACCAAGCTGCGCGGGCAGAGGGGACCCTCCCATCCTCGTCCCTTTGACTGATGATCCCAAACGTCCTTAAATAAAACATACTTGAAATTAAAAGTTTTTTTAATAAAATTGTTTTATGGCATAATGTCATTTGTTTTAAAATTTTAAATAAAAAACTTCTTTTTTCCCTTTCATAACGATTTTTCTAGATAAAATTAACGTCACTTGTTAAACGTTTCTCATGAATCACAAAAAATATGAAAAATAAGGTGAATTAATAATTTAGCCTAAAATTATCATCCCTTTTACAAAAATACTTATTGTTATTATTTAAGTTATACATATGCAGAAATAAGTATCTAAGAAACTGCCAAGCGCAAATAGCAGTGTAAATCTGCTACCTTAGTTAAAAAAATAAATTCCCAAAAAAGACCATAACGAAAATCACATGATCAGATGACAGAAGTATATAGTTATTGAAAGTAAATAAATTGAGATGAAGCCACCTTGTACAACATAACATATAATGCACCTGAGTTTAAACTGGGATGATGTTGTAGTATTAAGTTTAAGTTGTAGTATTAAGTTTAAGTTGTGAACTATGCCTAAGACATGATTGTTAATCAGGCCTTGTGACACAGGAACTCGAGGGGACGAGACAGAGAGAGCCAAGCGATGGCGCATGAGCCACGCGACCAACCCGAGCTCGTCCATACAAAGTGTATTAAATAAATCAAGTAGTTCTCTGTAATTAATTGCTCGTATGTTATTTATTAACAAACACATAACATGGCACTACGGTATCAAGAACGTATCTAAAAAGATTGTAAAAATTTTTGATAAAATTGTGTACGTAGTGTAGCACGTATATCGTGTTTCATTTTGTTAGCAAGATGGCGACAACGCAAGAAAATACTACACCTACGAACACGACGACAACAACGATGGCAAAGATGAGACTCACGGGTTTAAGACCACTAAAAATGCTGATTAATCTGAATGCGGAGGGTTTTAAAAGCTGGAAACAAAGGTTTGAGATTTATCGGGTGGCATCGGGTGTCAGTCAAATGATAGGTGAAGTACAGGTAGCAGTACTTCTCCATTCAATAGGAGATGCATGTATAGATATATATATAATACCTTTTCACTGACTGAAGAAGAGAAGAAAGTATACAGCACAGTTATGAAAAAGTTCGAAGATTATTTTGTTCCAATGAAGAATGAAAGTGTAAGCTCATACCTGTTTTTTACCAGGAATTACCATTGTGGTGAAAAATATGATGTTTACATAACAGAATTAAGAAAATTAAGCAGAGACTGTACTTTTGGTGACCTTCAGGATCAACTTATACGGAATCGTATAGTTGCTGGCATATTAGATAATAGAGTCCGAGACAGATTACTTAGAGAAAGCGAACTTACGCTCACAAAAGCAATACAAATCTGTAAAGCTGCGGAACTGGCTGAACAACAAGTTAAGCAAATAGAATCACCGGCAGTAGACACAAATAGTATACAGAAGATTCAAGGTAAACAAGAACCTCATATGTCTGGAACTAAACAAGGACAGAAACAACAAAAGTCTCAACAAGGTTAGGCACATGCTGATGTAAGCAGAGAAGGGAGAAACAGATGCGGAAGATGCGGTTATAATCATCATCCAGGAAATTGTCCGGCTTTCAACCAGGAGTGCAGGAGCTGTGGCAAGAAAGGCCACTTTGTTAAAATGTGCAAAAGTGATAATTAAAAGACTGTAAAATTAGTGAGTATGGATAGTGAAAGCGATGTTGAGGATGAGTGCAGAGAACTTGTTGTCAATTGGGTAAGTGTTCATGGTATAGAGGTATATGAAGAATGGGTTTAACCCTTGAAGATGATTGATTTTAATAATAAAAAAGTTAATTTCAAAATTGACACAGGTGCGCAATGCAATGTTATTCCTGATAATGTTTGTAAAAAATTAGGGGTCACCAGTTTAAAAAATTCTAATGTAGTTTTAAAAAAATACTCTAGACAAAAAATAAAAACTATTGGTAAAGTCTTCTTGAATTGCAAGTTAGCTAATGTTAATAAACTAATTGAATTTTAAGTTTTTGTTGGAATTGGAGTTCCCATTTTAGGTCAAGAGAGTTCACTGGAACAACAATTAATAAAGCGTTTGGCTGACAACGAAAAAAATATAAATTCAAAAAGCGGTGCACCGAATTGTGAAAAAGAACTAAAAAAAAAATATAAAAAATTATTTGATGGGTTTGGAAAGATAAAAAATTTTAAATACAAAATAGAATTAAAGGAAGGTAGTGTAGGTAAAGTGGAGCCATGTAGACATGTACCATTTAGGTTGATGAAAGGGTTAAAAGTTGAATTGA